GATGACGTCATTTTTTGCTTCGGTGATTTCAGCTCCGTGGTTTTCAAGGAATTCTAACTTATTGTCACTGAAGATGACTCCAGGTGCAGTTTCTGGAGGACTGTAGGTTGTGTTTAAGGTAGAGTCTTGGGTTTCATTTCCTGGGAGATTATTCCGTACTTCATTCTCTCCAGCATCCACCCCATACTCTGTTGCATTCCTTATTTCTACATTCGCCTCAATAGAGTTTGAGTTGAGTGATGGGTCATAGTATTTTGTCTCATATGTAATTTTATCTTATCTATTTCTGCCTGTGAGAGTCTGTTGTTTCGCATGATGTCCCTACGGACATTGGCAAGCATGTTTGGATTGAGGTTAGGTCTTACATCATTTCCCACCGTACTTCTCCATATTTGGTATGTTTAATTGGTGGTGTTCTTTGCTGGGTTTTCGAGTGCAGTGAAGAAGGATGTCATGACTTGTCGATACTCTTCGCAGCTCCATTTCGTTCGTTTACTTTTTATTAGTCGATTTGGTATTGAGTCACTTGGTCCAAGGTTGGCAATAATCCGGGTTTGGTGACCTAGTGTCTCTTCGTGTGTGGAAGAGTTTGTTCCAGTGACAGACTTTTCGTCCTCAGACTGGTTCCTCTCTGAGGGACGCCGCCCTTGTCGTCCCGATTGACGGCCGATCCGGTATGAAATATTATTCGTATTCATTGAAATTGGTAGAGATGCGTCTTTGACCTTGACCGCCAAGGGGTAATTATGTTAAGGTTACCAGCTTTAGGACGAGTCTCGAAGAAGATCCAAGAGCACGCCCAAACAATGAGATTGTGGATTTATCGAAGGTAGAATAGTTCATAAGAGTGTATGGTATTCAGTGGGATAGACTATATTAAGTTTTAACTTAGTATAAGTCGGAGTGACCACTCAAATGGGGATAATCAGATTTTAGTATATAGACTTAAAAAAAAGAGGAAAGAGAAAAGGGAACTGAAAAGGAAAGAATTAACTTGAGTCAAAAGGATTTAGAATCATATCAAACTACAGGAAAAGTATCATTAAAAAATGTTACATTTACCATTTCTTACAAGTTCGGAGCCTGGCACAAGTGACTTTCCACAAATGTTCAATTTTCCGTCGCCAACGACAGATACTTATCAAATTTTATTGGGTAGGCTGGACTTATACTACAGATTGGTAGGGGGGAATATCAAAGAATTCATTAAACAAAGGGGTAGAAGCAGAGCAGTAAAAGTTATACTTTTCCGGTCATCTCTCAGCCTACTAGCCGCTAAAAGATAATTTTTTAAATTTTCACTCAAAGACATGATAGTCAAAGGGCAGAGCATTGTAGGAAAATTACACCTGTAGCCATGAAAAAAAAAATACAATATGATATGCGGATACATACACATGTACATTATATATATATATATATATATATGCAAGGGAGCGAGAGACAGATATTAGTAAACATGTACACATACACGCAGCGACGGAGATATGGGATGCCTAGGGAAGAGAAAAATATTATTATTATTATTATTATTTTCTTTGATTTCTGGCGTTTACACATTTCTTTCCGGGTCCCGCCCAGGGACCTAAGGTTAGAAATGGCGTCATGACACTTTCCACTGACAAAAAAAGCACTTCGTAAAGTGTGTGCTGTAATTGTAAGAACAATTTTTTGTATCTCCTTGAGGCATGGACTTCCAGGAATCCCTTCAATTAATCTACTGAAATCTTTTCCAACCAGTGCTAGGGCTCCAACTACAACAGGGATTGTTGATGTTCCCATATGCCACATTTTCGAGATTTCTATTTCAAGGTCCTTGTATTTTGACAACTTTTTGAATATCTTCAAAGATACATTGTAGTCAGCAGGGACTGCCATATCAATAAGGAGGCACCGTTTTTGTTTGTGGTCTTTAATAACAATGTCTGGACGGTTGGCATTATTATTATTATTATTATTATCATTATTATTATCGTCATTATTATTATTATTACCGTTATCATCATAAATATTATTATTATCATCGTCATTATTATTATCATTATTATTATTATTATCATTCATTGTTATTATTATTATCGTCATTATTATTATTACTACTACTACTACTATTATTATTATTATTATTATCGTCATCATTATCATTGTTAATATTATTATTATCTAAGAGAAATAGCGAAAAAATTAAAAAAAAAAAAACAATTACCAGTCAGTATTCCTGTTTTTGATATATTATCCCTTTGAGCCGGTGGTAGAGAAAAATGACTTAATGCCCAGCCACCGGTTGAACGGTGGGTAAACACTGGTAAATATTTCTATATCTACCGTGAAACATTACATACCAATCATTTGCGAAATTTGACCCAGTGTGGCACCATGCATCCAGGCAGAGAAAGAAAGGCAGAAAGGGAAACGAAAGAAAAGAAGAAAGCAAGGGAAAAGTGTGGCGAGATCCGAATCATAGGTGATAGGCGGACACACACACGGCCAGGAGGCAATAAAAAAAAGAAAGGGTTATTTTGATAAGTGGCAAATGGCGAAAGAGTGTCATTACAATGACAATGAGATTTGAGTGGGTAGGGAAGTGTTATCTAAGGATATGAAAACAAACTATTGGTACGGTAAGGCATCTTATTATCAACACAGACCACCGGCCAAGGGAAAAATTCAAGTGAAAATGTTATTTCGATAAGGGACGAAAAGAAACAGGCGACTAAAAAGACTTTGGACAGATATGAAAATTAAAGGCCACTTACGAGTAATCGTTGACCGATTTTCCTACTTGGCCTGCGCGAATGGAATTGTGTTATCAAGAAATGTTCGCCAAAGAAAGTCAACTTGAAAACGTTAATTTTAATAATTGACAAAACACAGGTGTAGCTACAGAGCCTTAGTTAGATATGGAAAATTAAAATCCCACACAAGCAGTCTCACTAACTAAATTCTTTTCAACAAAACAACGTTGCCCTGCGACAATAAAATTTTGTTATCAGACACATGAACCGAAGGAAAATGAATAGAACCAGAAATGTTTTTCTTTCTTCCTTGGAGACGTCAGACTGACTGAAAACTTGGAGATAATTCTTTTTGAGGCCATGTCGGGAAAACCAACCATCTTGAGGAATTAACGATAAACTACCTGACAAATGCCACGTGTTGAACGAATTGTCATATTATCCGTTCGTGACTAGAGAATTGATAACGGCGATTTGAAAGGAAGAAAAAGGAAAGAGAAGAGATAATTGATTTTTCTTTTTTTTTGTTAAGCAAGGTATTTTTTTTCCGAAACAAAGCCGCGGATTGTTCACGCCCGACTAAGACGTCATTGGTCAAGTGGTGATCACGTGACGCACGAAGGAGGAGGAGGAAAGATACCCGACCAAGATCTCATTGGCCCAGAGTGATCACGTGACGCACGAAGAAGGCTGTCGACGCCCCCATTCAGAGTATAAGTATGAGAAGCTGCTACGAAGAAGTGGGGAGGGCAGTTCACGCCCCTCAGAAGCATGGTGAGAAAGTGGGAGGAAAAAAGTTACCAAAAATGGAAAAAGAGTGGAAAATCCCTAACCAGAAATAAAAGAGGTGGATATGTATTTAGAATTATCGAGGAACTCCCCGACGCCAACAGACCCAACCCGGTTTTTGTCGGCGTCAATAAAAGCCAGGCCCCAACAGGCAGAAATCAGTTCGGACCCTGGCGGGCAGAAGAAAGTTCGAGCTCCAGTTTCCAGAGTTGAAAGCCGCCTCAAGATAGCTGACCAAGATTCACGCAAAATTTCGGACTCCTCTTCAACCAAGAACAATTATTTTGAAGAGCGACTTAGGACCAGACCACCGAAATAAGTTTTTTTTCGATTTTCGCCCAAAGACACACCGAAACACAAATTTCTTAGAGAGCAAACAACTTGAAGCGTTAAAACTTGCCTAACGGAAAACGACGTGTCACAATCCACAGAACGGGTCGGGAGATAGATGCAGTCCTATGTATCGAACAACTAGACATAAAGTTTGTTACCTTTTTCTTTGATACTTTGAACTTTTTGAGTTTTCATTTTCTTTTCTTTTATGCATATTGTGTGTTATCATCCCCGTTGAACTCAATTTGCATTACGGCCCCAACCACTGTTTGATCTCGTCTGTCTAAGATCAATTCACAACGTGGGTAGGCAGACTGGAGATCAGTGCAGTTACCTTGGTAACCAGGCGTTGGAAGCGAGTTGGGAACGGCGAGGCTGATATCAAATCTAACCAGATTCCCACCCGAATCACCAAAAGGTTAGAACGTCACATTTGGGTGCCGCGACTGATACCAAGCCAGTTGATCGTCACAGGACGAGACAACACGACTGACGCGACAGGCGGACGTCACGTTTGGAGCAGCGACACCCGGACGGAGCAGCGAGGAGCGAACAGCTGGCGCCGCGGCGAAGACGTCACAATTGGTGCTGTTTAGGGACGTCACAACTGGTGTCGTGACCGGGATAGGACTCTGGAACGGCCACGTCACAACTGGCGCCGTGGTAGATCAGGATAGAACGTCACAGTATAGAACCGAAAAATTCAATATAATTATTTGAATGAAATTGAGTTTGAAGTAAGCTCTGTTCCATCATCAAGCGAAATTTTTTTTGGAATCTTTTCGCTTGATGATGGAACAGAGCTTACTTCAAACTCAATTTCATTCAAATAATTATATTGAATTTTTCGGCTCTTGTTTTGAAACATGAGACCTCTTATGTCGTGAGTTGGAATCATATTTTTAAATAAATAATTATATTTATGCTCTACTTTTGTATCGAGCACTATTTTTTAAAAATAATAACTAAAATACTAAGGAACTTTGGATTATTTACCTAACCAGTTCCTTCCTATTTTCTATATATTTTCACACACACACACACACACACACACACACACACACACATATATATATATATATATATATATATAGAGAGAGAGAGAGAGAGAGAGAGTATAGATAGATATATTATATATTATACACCTATAGAAATATACTTAAAAAGAAAGAAAAAAAAAGAAAGAAAGAAAGAGAGAAAGAAAGAAAGAAAGAAAGAAAGAAAGAAAGAAAGAGAGTGTGTCATGTTAATAAATGAACGGATAAATTTGGGAGGTAGTTAGGCTGGGAACGAAAATATCACTCATTAAAAGTACTTTATTAACCGTATTTCCCAAACCAGTGCTGGACTGATTGTTTTTTTTCTTGTCTCGTGTCAGCCAAATGAACCGTGAAATGTGAAGCCGTAAAAATTTGGCGGGCTCATCTTACACAACTGTCTGCCATTACTGTCAAACTGTCAGTTCCGTCAATCTCCGACGAAGAATTAGAAAAACAAATTCAACTTCGTTTCTAGCCTCGCCTTTTATTGATCAACGTCACCATTGCCAATGTGGGGCCCTGTATAATTGTGTGTGCTTTTGAATGTGTGTATATACATGATTTGTATATTTTTCTTCACCCGGGCGAATGTGCGTGCTGTACACGTTTGCGTGTATGCATCCTTGTGAATATTATTGACGAATATGTGCCTATGTCAGTGTTCGCAAGAATACCCTTTGATGATTCTACATATATTCCCATTTCTAATAAACTCAGTCTGTTTCTAATCTACTCTACTCAGTGGTTACAACTGTAAAGAATTGGTCTCATTATGGACGCAGTGTTGTTTCGTATCCTGAAAATTGTTCGAAAATAATTATTCGAAAAACATTTATTCGAATTGTAAATTGTTTGAATGAAACTTAATCGAAAGGCCAATTAGACTAAATGATAATTATTCGAAATACATATGTTCGAAATAAGTATGTAGTTTTGCTTTTGGGGAGCCAATGCTGATTTAGATAGAACTAATAACGCTCTTGAAGGATGACAGAGGGCTTTTTTTGCAGCAAGTGCATCCCATCATCCGACAATATGGAAATTCTTAGATGTTCTTAAAAGTGTCATCCCATCATCCTTACAAAATGGAAATTCTTAGACGCTCTTAAAAGAGAACAGGACTTGCAAGAAATTCATATTTTAAAAGTAAGAGAAGGTTTTCAAAATTTCAAGAACGCTAAGAAATACCGCGACGTAAATGGAAAACTTTTTTTTGCAGTAAGTGTAATCCCATCGTCCCACAATATGGAAATTCTTGGACGCTCTTAAAAGAGTACAAGGCTTGTTGGAAATTCATAATTTAAAAGAAACAGCAGGTTGCCAAAATTTCAAGAGCGCCAATAAATACCGCGACGTAAATGGAAAACTTAAAAAAAAAATTAGTGGCATCCTTTAACAAGTAATCTACAGTAGTTGACTATTTGCGTGTAGTATTATATAACTTAAGGTTATAAGGATTTTTTCTAAATTGTTTTATGAACATGTGTCTGACCAATGAAAACTGACCCAAATAAAATTGAAACTACCAAAGATTCTGTCTTTTTTAGCTGTTTTCCACTTAATCTTTGACGAAGCTTTAATAAAAGTGAAACATGTTAGACATATATATTTCCTATTTGCTCTTTATTTTCATTATATATTAGTGTGTTCAAAGTATTTTATCTCTCACAGACCTTAACTTCGAAGCTTATAGTTCACTTCTAAAAATTATGATTACTTCCTCATTATTATTATTTTATTTCATTTGATTTCTGGCGTATACACATTTCCGGGTCACAACCAGAGACCTAAGCTCAGAAATGGCTTCATGACATTTTCCACTGAGCAATTTTGAGGAAAAAAAAAGATCGCAAACATTTTACATAGATGGAGCCATTCGTAAGGTGTGGACTATTATTTAAAGATTGGGCTACCAAGAATCCATCATCACAGAATATGGAAATTCTTAAACGGTCTTAAAAGAGAACAGGACTTGCAAGAAATTCATATTTTAAAAGTAAGAGAAGGTTGCCAAAATATCAAGAGCACCAAGAAATATGGCAACGTAAGTGGAAACTTAAAAAATACTTGCATCCTTTGACGAGTACTCTTCAATAGTTGACTATTTGCGTTCAGTATCATTTAACTTAAGGTTATAAGGATTTTTTCTTACTAAATTCTTTTATTAATGATATTTATATTTCGAATAATTATCATTTGCTTATCTCCTCTTTTTTTTTACATTTTTATTGCTCTAAAGAATTATGCATTTCGAATAATTATCATTATATAATTTTCCTTTCGATTAATTTTCATTCAAACAATTTACAATTCGAATAAATGTTTTTCGAAAAATTGTTTTTTTTCAAATAATAGTTTTTGAATAATTGTTTTCGAGCAATGTTCATACAATTGAGTTTTTCTTTGCAGCTATACATTTAATCTCAGTCCAGTCAAATACATGGACTATACAGGAGCCGTAAGTAAAAATTAAACTAAAAAGGCAAAAAATGTATAAAAAAAAAGGTCTCACCATTTTACAGTTGAAATTGCTAAATGCAACCGTAAGTTTTATGCTAGCAGTTCCTTCACTCGCATTTCTTGCTTGTGGAGCTCACTTCCGTCCGTTTGTTTTTCAATCAAATTTGATCCTCAAAAATGTAAATTTAATGTCGAAAGTCATCTTCTGCCTCCTTAATTCCTGTTTTTTTTATCGTCATTTCTCCTGAATAATTTTTTCTCATCTTGCCCCTTAGTGGCTTTATCACCTTAACTGGAATGAAAAAAGAATTGTATACAATGACAGTTTTCTAATAGCTGATATAAAACAAACCCCTTGTAATCAACGTGTCGGACTAGGTGGAATTCATAGAAGTTGTTCATATAAATAGTTTATATTTATGAGCGAATGAATATGGCTAGACTTAGGATGGGCCATTCTTTTACGAACCTTGTGACCTGACACTACAGAATCACAAAGAACTGTACGAAATAATAGAGATGCCCTGTCCTCATTGTCTAGTTTTGACAGAGTTCAAAAGCGACTACGCGGCCCTGTGAGTAATGGATTGCTTCTCCCTCAACAACCCTTTTCCCACAGATGAAACTTTACTAGGCTCTCGCTAGTCGATCCCTATATTCGTGAAAAACAAATCAGAGGAGCTACATTCATTTGTTCCACCAATTCCGACGTTTACGGTAAAGATGCACCCTGCCCCACGCACACGGGTCGATTCAACTTCATTTCCTTCGGGTTCAGTTGATAAAGAGAAATTTCCTTTTATGCAGTCCCCACCACCCAGGAAATAGAAGAGCCTTCCGCGAGGATGCTTCCCTGATCACTACACTCAATCCGTTCAATTCTTTGGCCAATGGTTGTCTATCATTATTTTTAATTCTCCCCTTTACACTCTTACAAGAACCTCATTCAGAAACGTACTTTGTGAGGCTTTTGGATTGTAATGATGGTGGATTTTGTTTAGCAGCATATCAACTTCTGTAGTTCCAAAATTTAAATATTTTAAATTTTGTATATAATTTTATACTTTCAAGTAGATCATAAAATGTACTGTATTTAAAAAATATATTGCTGGTAATTTTTTATTGGGTTGGTGCATAATTATCAGGCGTTTTTTAAACAATATTTATTATGAAAAAAAAAACAAAAAACAATTCAACAATAACACTTTTAAATGATTATTCCGGAGCGTATGATTATCGACACCCATTTTTATAATCTGAAAAGAAATAATATTTTTATTAAAAATGTAAACAAAACAGCACATTTTATTAACAAATAACTCACCTACAAAAACGCTTGATAATTAGGCACCAACCTAATAAAAATATATTTTTAAAAGAAATATAAAACACATTTTTGTACTTTTTCGCGTTGCATTGATTGTCATTTTGTTGTAACATCGTATTTTTGGTCATTTTATTATAAAAATACACTGTTGGTTTTTGTTTGGGGGTAAATATTTGCCCATAGATAGGACCCTAATATGTGCTACCACACGAGGTCAGGGTGAAGCTGGAAATAACAGCAATTAAAAGATGGTTCCACGCTCTCCAAAATTTCCAATCTTCCGATCCAGAGGCTTTACAGCCTGATAAAGTTTATCATCATTCTAAGGATTTTGTATTGTTGATGATTCAACTATAAAATGAATTGTTGGTCATTTTGCTTTAAAAATGTATTGTTGGTAATTTTACCATTGTTATGGGAACTTACCCATAATAATAATGGACTATTCCTGACATTATAAATACTGCACCTCTCAAGAGGTATGAGCATTTGTAAGACAAGGAGAGATAATTGAGAGCATATTGTAAGGACATTGGAATAGTGATACCTGTCGAGACAACATAGTTCACTCTAACCAATTCTGATAGTCATTACTAATACTTCTACTTCTTTGTATTATATTTCTGTTGTAATATATCTTTGTATTCCATACCTGTGTTCATGTTATTCTTTCAATGCTAAAAAAAAATCAGAGGAGCTACATTCACCGTGGTACAATGAACTTGGACATAACAATAATCAATATGTATTGTTGGTGATTTTACTATAAATAGGTATTGTTGCTAGTAAAATACTACAAAAATGTATTTTTCTTATTTTAGTAGTGTTTTTTTTTTGTTTGGGTGGGGGTTCACTAGCTGTGAAAAACAGCAAGAGCACTATTTACATTGTTCGGACTATCATCCTCATCTTTGTTGCCATATTTATCAGAAAATTTCAGGTGATTGGAATGTCGAACTGAACCCTGTATTTTGCTCACTGGGGTAGATTGTTCTAGTTCCACGTGCCATCTCTAATGGATGTCAGTTATCAGTTATCTCCTGTTATTTCCACACTAATTCAAACAAAACGTTAGGAAGGAAGCCCCCCCACACACACACTAAATACTGGAAAGAGCAATAATAGTGAACTTGAAGAATCTATTTTCTTGAAAATTTGTTTTAATAGACAGATTTTACAATTTCAACTGAGAGTAACACTGTTTAAACGGGAGTGTGTATAGTAGATGCGTCGACGCTTCCTAGAACATTACACTAGTCAGCAAAAAAAAAAAAAAAAAATAAATAAATAAATAAAATAAAATAAAATGGCGTCGAGACACCAAACATCTTTATTAGCTAATTTGAGGGCGCTGAATCTTAGTTAGTTACCGTTTTTGTTGTACAGGAATGCCCCTTTTTTTTTTTAAAAAAAAGAAG